CTGGAGCAGGTTTGCTGGCAGGGCTTGTGACCCTGTGAGGGACCCACGCTGGAGCAGTCCCTTCCTGAAGGGCTGCACGCCATGGAAAGGACCCAGGCTGAAGCAATTTGAAAAGAACTGTCAGTCATGGGAAATGTCTCCTGCGAGAGGGACTCCACGCTGGTGCGGGGGAAGGAGTCCTCCCCGAAGGAGGAAGGAGCAGCAGAAACAAAGTGTGATGAACTGACCCCAACCCCCATTCCCTGTCCCCCTGTACCACTGGGGGTAGGAGGTGGAAATCAGGAGAGAAGTTAAGCCCAGGAAGCAGGGAGGGGTGGATTGACGTGTTTTAAGATTTGGTTTTATTTTTCATTATCCTCTGATCTGATTTGTAATAAATTAAAAATTTGTTCCCTCCCTCCCCCCACCAAGTTGAGCCTGTTTTGCCTGTGCCAGTAATTGGTGAGTGATCTCTCTCTGTCCTTATCTCCACCTATGAGCCTTTCATTATATTTTTATCCCCCTGCCCAGTTGAGAAAGAGGAGTGATAGAGTGGGCTTTGGTGGGTATCTGGCACTCAGCCAGGGTTAACCCACCACAATATTAAATTCAGAGTGGCCATGTTAAATCTTTGAATTTAATTTGAACGAGAGGACAATCTATTTTGATTGTCGTAATTACCTTTCAAAATACAAAGAGCTGAAGTAAAAGCTGGAAATAATCTAGTTTAAACATAACTACACCTGATTTTCCTCAGTGTAAAAAAGTAAATTGGTATGAAAGATCCTTGATTATTTTTGTAACTTTGAGTGCCATTTCATGACAGAAAATAAGTTCTTCTGTCCTAGGTAGTACGTATGGCAAGAGCAATGAAAAAATGCTAATCCACGCTTCAGTTGCTAGCTAGTGAAAAACTAGTGTAGGCATTGCCTGTCCATACAGTACTTACACTTCCAGCTGCCATATATCTTTAGAATAAATCCTGTCTTTGGTATGTCTTTTCAACAATGGTAATAAAAATTTGCATTACAAACGAAATCCTGCCCCACCCCCATCTGCTAAACAGCAGAAAACTGCTTGAGGCTGAAAGGCAACCAAATACATGCAAATACATTTTATTTGGACTGATTCTGCATATATTTTAAATAATTGAAACTAATGGAACTATTTGCAGGATTAAAGATAGATACCTAGCAAGGTACTGAATTGCATCTTGGGCTACCAGAGCCAGTGATAGGAAATTAATATGAAGGAGTTGGTGCACACTTTTTCACCTCCCCAATTCTAGACTTGGTTCAGTGGCTTCGGTGATTGCAGAAAAATACAGCATCACTGGAGCTGGAGTGTTTATTTTCTTGCTCATTACTTTTCTGTGCTCTTGCAGGTTAGGTTTAAGGTGTTTAGCAATTGTTTTGATGGTATAAGAGTAGTTTAGCAGACCTGAAATTCTGGACAATAATGTTTATCTACACAGCAGTCTCACTGTTATTAAGTTCTCCATGCATTTTGAGGATGATTCGCAGTTCATTGATTTTGGTATTTAAAATGTTTTAATTCATATAAATAATCTTCAGACAGTTCACATTGATCTTAACACAAATTTAAGTTCTGTTTAGGCAATCAGTGAATTTTTTATGCTCAAGGAACTTAGTAGACAGAAAAAAAGAAAAATTAATTACCTGTTTACTTCCACAGGCTGTCATGAAATCTCCTCTTCAATGCTTTGGTGTTGAGATAGAGCACTTGAAGCATAAAGGAAAAGGCTGTCAAATCAAAGTTTTGGCAAACTGGCAGCTATGATAACATACATCCTTCTTATTTTTCTTTCCAAGCTATCTGTTCAATCCAACTCCAGAGTGGTCTATTAAACAAGTTTTCAACCTTGAAGCATCTGGGTTCTTCACAAAACATGTTATATTAAATATGCACATGCAAAATAAGTTATAATGCACCATTAAAACCCCTTTTATTTCAGTAACACCTTTTTCAACAACTGTCAGGGCCAGCTATAATCTAAGTCAAATACTAAACTAGACATATCTAGATGATGAGATAGTCAACTAAAGACCTGAAACAGTCTCTGAAAGTGCCTTCCTCTTTTTATGCATTATCCAAAGAGATCAGTTTGGCACCTAACCAAAGTGTCTCAGATAAGTTGGGTGGAATTGGGTCTAAGCTTTTTTAATCATAGTTTTAGGTAGGAAAAATCTCTGAAGCTGCTGAATTTACAGTAGGCTAAGGCAAATTTAATTACCTCATGGTTTCTATCAACTAAGAGTATGCATATGGACCTTACTGTGCCAAGAATCTTCATTGATGGTAACTTGATTGTGTATTAGATAGCAAAGTCAATCACAATAATTAAATAATGTTGTATCTGATTATTGAGTGCACTTAAAACTTATATTGTTTCACAGATCCATGTTTACATGATAGCACTGAAATGCAGGCTGTGGCTCTATTTCTTGACATGTTTTAAGAATAAGTTTTGGGTAAAGTCATAGTATTTCTTATTTGTAGTGCTAAATTCAGTTTTATCCAGGTTGCATCTACCTTTGTAGGATTTGCTTATCTCTATGCTTATTTGACATAATCAGATCTTCCTTTGGTACAGGCGGACAGACTCCCTGCTGAATTGTGAAAGTAGTATTGCTTTCTGACTGCTGATGATACAGGACTCAATTTATGCAATATATTAAATCTACCATAGAAACTATTTAGATTAGGATTGTACATTATATATATCATTACTATTTTTAACAGATAACTGTAATGCTTTTTTTGATGCATATTTAATGTAGCCATAAATTACATTTGTACTCCTTCTGTATTGATAGTAACATCCAAAACAAGGTACTGAACTCTGAATTATTTTACAAAAAAGAAGAAAAAGTTTTCTCTGATTGCATCTGTATCCTTCCTTGGAAAACCAGGACACTTCCCAATATCCAAATATTATCTCATCAGATTCTATTGAAAGAGTAATTAGCAAAGACAGAGAAGTTATAAGTTTTATTTTCACAGGTTTGGTTTTTTGTTTTGTTTGTTTTTTAAACTCCCTTCCAAGAGAACTCAAAGACCTGCTTAATAGTTTGATTGCCATTTCATGACACCTAGCCCCTCTCAGTCACATATCTTACTTCTATCTGAGAAAAAGTAAGATATATGGTGCATCTGGAGCTGTGGGGCAGATTTTCATAATGATAATCACAAAATGAAAGGGCAATCTGAAAAACTATTTATTTAAAATACAGGAAGATGGCATTTGCTGAACTTAATACCATTTGCTAGTATTTAAGGTCTGTAATTTCCACTCATGTTAATGTATTCTAATTATTATCTGCTTAGCTTTTGTTTCTCATGAAGATTAAAATGGTCTGTTTGATGTGTGCAAAGAAGTGACTACAGAAAATGGTAGATTAATTGGAAGATGTCAGCTTAGGAGAACATTTTTGACATGAGCACTGTAAGGCTGTTAACAAACAGACTAACTCATTTGTCTCACCATGAAATGAAAATAAAAATCACAACATTATGATAAAATCTTGACTAGGAAATGCCTACAAGACTCTTTGAAGCCTTAGGTTCTTTTTTTTTTCCCTGGGCTTTGGCACCGTGATGTATGCAAACCACGTTCTACATAACTGTGAAGTGAAATAGGTTCTCTACAGAACAGATGGAGCAGGGCTAATGTGGCGATGTGCATTGGAGACGAGAACAGATTAATACCACAAGGGGAGACTGGAGGAAAATTGGAAAGATGGGGGTCTTTGAACTAATTCATGAATCATTTCCAACTGATAGTTATGCCTTCAGGCACAGTGAATAATATCAAGGAAGCATATTTAAAATTTCATAAGTTTGTTTTAATGTAGATTAGAATGAAGAGCCATACTTCTAGATGATTAAAAAAAATATATATTGTATTCCCTCCTCCCTGAAAGTACCTTTGTGATGTAAATGTCACCGATGAGCTTAATTATGTGCACTGTGACATGAATTGCTATTTGCAAAACCTATGGCAGATTGATGGACTTGGCACAAAGCTTTTAGATTTTTTTTTAATTTATTTTAATTTTTTTTATTATTTTTTTTGCAGAAGCTCTGTGTGACTTGGGAGAACATGCTCTGCCACTTGCATCCAAGCCACAGAGATGTAGCTCTGCAGTGCCTGGAGGCATGGTATTATTCAGCTATCTCTCCAGTTCTCCCCTGTCTTCATCTTATTCAAACAGCCTTCAGTCTTAGGAGGTTCAGACTTCCCAAAGCTGTTCCAGAGCAAGCACAGGTAGACACCTACTTCTTTGAATAAGATCTTCAGTCCTAAGTTACAGGATGAGACTTTCAACAGAGACATTTCTTGTGACTAAGTTATAGTACTCTTGCTAATGGGCATTTTACTATAGGGCAGACAAACACATAGAAATAAGTAGGTCCACCTGAGAATTAAAAAAAAACAAACAACCAAAAACGTATATAAAACCATCAGAATCTGAAACAATGAGGATACTCGAGAAATATGTAACTTCATAGTATGAGTGAAGGTATCAGAGTTTTGTTTATGGGTGGAAAAGCACAATTCCATGTGTTAGGACATCAAAAGTTCTTCATTTTTCAAAACTCAGAGGATACGGATGAGCCTGATTACTAGTATTCATAATGGACACGGTTAATAAAAGGAAAAAGAAACTGTGAAGAAAGGAGATGGATAGATGTCTGGATGCTCTGCAGTCTCCATATGACTTCTCAGGAGATTGTTTTCAAGCTATAGAGGAGAATGTGAAACACTTGACAGCGAGGGAAGTTTTTGAGAAAAATCCAATAAAGATGGCTACTTCAGTTCACTAGTAAGGAAATAATCTACATGGGTTTCTATTCACCAGGACAGAAGATGCTGTATCATTCCTCTTGTATACAATTCTTTCCTTCTAGGCAAGACTCAATAAGAAGCAAGAAAGGTATAAAATGGCCCACGTGCCTAAAACTCAATTCTCATTCTACTGATTTCATTGCAGGTTGCAAATCTGGCCTGTTCAATCTCAAATAATGAAGAAGGTGTGAAGTTAGTCCGGATGGCAGCAACACAGATTGATAGCCTGTGCCCACAGGTGAGTAAGACTCCTGTTATAAAGTACTTGACAACTCTTTGGGCATTAAAAACATCAGTTAGCTGAGACAGGGAAAGCAGCCTTGATGAAGATTATAACCTTGCCTTTGTCCTTAAGTTGTTGCCTGCTTTCCATGAACTGAAAAATACATTCATATCTTGAGACCAGCATTTCCAATGGGGTCTAATGCTGTATTTTTAACATTGTTAGTAATGTATTTGTTCTTTCCTTTGTGAAAAAAAAAAAAAATGCCACTTCTCATAACAAATTGTTTTGAACAACAGGTAATAAATGCTGCGCTCACATTGGCTGCCAGACCCCAGAGCAAAGTAGCACAGGACAACATGGATGTCTTTAAAGATCAGTGGGAGAAACAAGTGCGAGTTCTCACTGAAGCCGTTGATGATATCACTTCGGTGGATGATTTCCTCTCTGTTTCAGGTACTGGGATCAAGGGACTCTTCTAAAAATGTACTGCTAAATTAAAGTAATGGGTCAGAGCAGAGAAAAGCTATAATTACTAAAGCATCATTAGTCCATTAGTGCGTCCTTATTGAAATGCTGATCTTCTACACTCAGTAGGAGCAACCAAACCATGCCAATTAATCCCTGGTAGCAATGTTTAGCTTTTCCTCTCCCAGATAATAGCATCCTATTTGTGCTTCTATTTCTAGAGAAGTTTTGTTTCAACTCAGGCACAAAGTAGTATTTTGGCAACCTTTTAAAAATTTTATTACAGACCTCTGATGGGTTGATGGTATTTGCAAAAATTGTTGGAGTCCTAGTGCAGTTGTGGGCAAGAGGAGGAAAATTGAACTTTCCTTACTTTATTTGGTAGCTTTACTCAGATCAGCTGTGTCTAAGCAGTGGGGCAGATGTACCATACAGTCCTGATCCTGCAATCATCCATACCAGGTTACCAGGCTCTGGGAAGGGAGAGGAAGAAGGAAAATAGGAAGATGCTGTATATGAGTCCCATCTAGGTGTTTTGTCAGAATCATATGAAGCATGTACATTTCCAGAGAGCTCAGAAGCTCTTCTGGGTCCCGAATTTATCAGTATAGCAATGCAACCAAATGGAGAGAAGTAGTAAAGTAGTATAAGAAACAGCAAATCTTTGCACCTCTCGGACCTCACTAGGAAGGATTACAATGCAAAGCAAGCTCTTCTGTGAAGAAAAACCAAAGTGTCTTAGTCCTTACATAAAGAAGTGATGGATATGAGAAGGATGTTGACTCTTTGGATGACAGACTTCTCTCCATCCTCCTTGTAAAGTGCTACAAATTGTGGCAGAGTGTATTGTTATAATATAGTCATACACAATGAATACTATAATTGTAAAGTGCTACATGTCTTGGGTTAATTATCTGCTGCAGAATAGTCATTTTCCTGTTATGGTTTGAAAGAGGTGAATTTCATTGTTGTGAATAAGGACATAGAGTGTATCTAGCATGCTTAGCTCACTCTAATATTGCAGAAGAGCCAAACTTCAGGATATAGCTTGTCCTGAATTTTATGTTTCATTCTACATTCTTTTCCTTAATGTTTCCTAAATTTCCTAATAAAACTTTAAGATGTTTGGAGAAAAAAAAAAAATCTTTATCCTTTAAAAAAATCCTTAATTTTTGCCCTCCCCTTTATTTTGTTTGGTTGTGCCCTGCTATTATTAGTAACAAGGAAATGGTTTGGCTTAGTATAATTACACTCCAGTGTTCAACACCACTGCTAGAGTGTTTACTGCAAGCCATCACAAGAAAATTAAAATGAACTCTCACAGTAAAATGGTACTTCAGAATGTGGTAACACATAGATTTTTATTAGAGATTTGAAGCTTGCAAACACTTTTCAACAGACCTTGTTCTGCAATGAAAGGGCAGACTAAGCTGTAAACTGTAGATCCAGCCCAGAAACCAAAGAAATGGCAAACTCGCTTAAATGGACATTTGGTTATTTGTGTGAGAACTTTGTTCACTACAAGCACTTGTATCCATAAACTCAGAAGTTATTTCAATGGATGACAATTTTTTTGTTGTTGTTTTTCCTCAAATCACATTTTCTTCTAACATTCTAACATTTTGACTTAGATCCAGACTTTCCAAGGCAACTGAGAAGTAGTATTTCTGTTGGTTTTAGATTTTTTTTGTCCATAGACATCTCTATTGAAAATGAGAAAACATCTCATGTGTCCAGAAAGCCTGCTGCTGTTAGCTCAAAGCTTGGAAGCCTCCGCTTACACAAAGTAGTTTTATTTTTGGATGTTAAACCAGTGAAGCATTCAAAATGGGCTAGTGCCTGGTTAAACGTTCCTCATGAAATTACATCTCGTCTTCATATTGAGTGTCACGTTTGATGGCATATTTTATTAATACTACCAAAAAAAGGCTGACCTTAATTTTAATCAGTTACTTTATATTCCAAATACAGTCTGTTCAAATCCATATAGCACTTCTTGTTGGGCAAAATTTGGCTATGCCATGTAAAAAATAATAAAAATAATAAAAAAAAATTACAATGGTGAGGAGGGAATAGTGAAGAAATATTTTAGCAAAACAATGTTGTTTAAATGTGGATAGAGAATTTTTTAAAATAAAGAATCTTACCTTGCAAGTTACTCTGATTCACAGCTCAGGGGACTTTAATTTTTCATTCAGAGTTGTTGCAGTTTAAAATTTGACATCATGTAAAACATTCTTGAAACCTTCAAATGATCCAACCTTAGCATTTTTAACAGTGGAGATAAGTGTATCATTCTATTTTTGTGGCCAAGGATAATTAACAAAAAGCAGTTAATTAATTGATTGATTCTTGTTTATTTATTACTACGACAAAGAACAGCATTTCATTTTCAGTTTAGATGTGTCTGTGGCAGAAAAATAACTCGCTGCTTACAGTCACTGAGTTTCTCAGAGTGAGTTTGCTCAAATATGAAATTCAGTCATAGTTTTATTATTGAAATTATTTTTAACTGTACTGGCTGCAAGGGAAATTGTATCTGACGTAATAGAAATTTGCTTCATCCTTTCAGATTATCTGTATGTGAGAATACTACTACTAATCATAAACTATGGTACTGCAACACATGAGAGTAGATGGCCTGATTCGGAGCTGACAAAAAACAATGCAACTCCCAAGATTTCAGTAAACCTACTTGTTATTACATCATCTGAGCAGACTCACTGTTGTCAACTCTTATTTCAGAATATGTACATTCACATAGGTTTATACCATGTGTCATGAAAAATTCACACCTTAATCTCTGGCCTAGATGGAGTAAAGGAGGTGAACTGCTTGTGCACAGGCTACCTGCTATCTACAAAGCCAATATGCTATTGTCTTTTCAAAATGATTTATTTTCTTTTCTAACTTATTTAAGCACAAATGAACTAAATGTATTAAACGTTTATGGAAATGTGTAAATTCATCTTCAGAAAATTGTCCAACCATTTATTAGAGCATCTGCATAATATTTGACTCCTTTCCTTTTTGCACTGATTTTTATTACCCTTTCATTATAATAAAATTCAGTGTGATGTTTGAAATTAACGTGAGCGTTTTTTAAAGAATTGCAGGTTGGTACTCACAGTATAGGTGAGAGGATGTAGCTCAATACCTTTCAAAGATAAATAGCACACTTGGGATTTTTACTGTGGCATAGTATCACAGAATGGTATTTGCTTTGCAGACCTGGATAAGGACAGATATCAATATTTTAACATATTGACATTTGCTCTTTACCCAAATCAGTAAGCTTTGCTATGAGAAAGAAGGAAATGAAATGAGCTTTTATTTTTATTTTTTTTCCTACATTCCAGAAAATCATATTCTGGAAGATGTGAATAAGTGTGTGATTGCTCTCCAAGAGGGGGATGTGGATACACTGGACAGAACTGCGGGTGCTATCCGAGGCCGTGCAGCCAGAGTTATTCACATCATTAATGCAGAGATGGAAAACTACGAAACTGGAGTTTATACTGAGAAGGTACTGGAAGCTACCAAACTGCTCTCTGAAACTGGTAAGCTTATTTGAAATATTGTTCAATATTAAGTCACTTAAAACTTTCTGAAATCTGTAACTCAGAGGGGAACCTATGCTTGAAAACACATTATAAACAAACAAATTAATGACCATGAGTGGTTTGTTGTTTTTTTTTTTTTTTCTCTACTCAATACTATTGCAGAAGTCGTATTGACAAGAGTCATATATGAGATTCAGTAGCCAATCAAGGCTAGTTTGCTTCGTCAAAGTTTCAATGATTTGATTAAATAATACACAGCCTTTTCTTCAAGTACTTTCTGTGTTGATTACGTATTATGTGTCTCTAGAAAATCATTACAAACATTGCTGTGGTCTGTTCAGGTGAATTTACTCGTTGGTGGCTGAAGTTGTGTTTATAAACAAAGCAATTCTTCATTGAAAATACATTTGAGCAACTGAAAATATATTACCTGATTGAAAAAAAAAAAAAGAAAGTCTGCTAGGTTATGTAAAATACATAGATTATATAAAATATATAGATTATACAAAATATATAGATTATATAAAAATAAGAAAGTCTGGTAGATGGACAGACTGGGATTTTTTTTAACTTGTTTTTGGCTTCACAGAGCAGAGGTTAGGTTCATCTACATGTAGGTGATTACGTCTAAGCTACTCATTTTAGACTCCTTTATACTCAGTATTATCTGTTGCTATGTACGTCTGAATTGTTCAGTGCAGGCAGTACTATCAAGTGCTCTCATCTTAAAGCAGTGGTCTACACTTGTTTGGATGAATCATGCTTTGAATTTCATTGACTTTACAGACTAGTTCTCCACTCACTGTACAGTTGACCAGTTATGATATAGATGCACATAGTGTACATGTCTGAAAATGTCTGAGCTAATCCTCCCCTATCTGACTGCACTTGCTCATCCGGGCTTTAAAATCATCAAGATTATTTTAGAAGGAACAAATGAGAATGCAACAGTTCAGGACACTGAAAATGTAACATTCAGACAAAACAACTAGACATCTCCATCTGAGACAGAAAAGTGAAAACTATTGCAGCTCTGGCAGCCTCTGTATTAGCTTTGAGAACAGAAATCAGCAAAATGAGCTAAAAAAAAATGTCGATATGATTTAATATTACTTGTTGTGTTATTGTTGTCCCCAGCTTATTATCCTTTAGCCCTAAAAAGGACCCCAAGCCCTAATTGCACAGATAAATCCCAATGACACAAATCATGTTTTTCTTCTTTTCCTGACTTTTCATTATTACTTATTGGAAATTGTAGATGAAGTGTGGATGCTTGCTGTCATGGTTTAACCCCAGCTGGCAAATAAGCACCACACAGCGACTTGCTCACCCTCTCTGGCTGGAATGGGAGGGAGAATCGGAAGGGTAAAAGTGAGAAAACCCGTGAGCTGATATAAAGATAGTTTAAGAAGTAAAGCAGAAGCCGTGTGGACAAGCAAAGCAAAAGAAGGAATTCATTCACTACTTCCCACCAGCACGCAGGTGTTCAGCCATCTCCAGGAAAGCAGGGCTCCATCACACTTAACGGTTACTTGGGAAGACAAACACTATCACTCCAAACATCCCCCTCTCCTTCTGTTCAGTTTGATATGGTTAAATATTGTGTTGCACTCTCATGTCAAAGTCTCCTTTTGTTGAAGGAGAGAATTTGAAGAATTCTCCCTGTTGCTGAGATTTCTTTATTAATTAAAACAAAGCACATTTTCAGACTTTTTATTCAGCAAAAATTTCTGTCCTAATGTTCTGTAAATTTTTTTATTAATAATTTTTCAGCAGAGTAACTGACAGTTACAAAGCACAGGTATACAGATCAATAATAGGCACAGTAAATGCTTACATTCCATATTCAATGCACTTTTTGATATAATTTGAATTATAACCAAGTGCTAGAAGCTCTGGACTGAGTTCATCTTTACAACATCAACTTGTTGATGCTGGGATTCAATATTTAAGATTGTGTCTCTGTTCCTCAAAGTCAAACATTACTTATTTTGTATTTTGTAAAATGTAAGTAAACTTGTGAGTAATTTAAAAAAAAGATAAAAAAAAAAATTTTAAGTGTTTAGAGCTTTGCATCATGTACAAATTGTGCAGCAGAAGTTCAGAAGGTGGAATGGGCCCAAATTCAATGGAGCCAATGAAGCTAAAATGATCTATGCCAGACACAAATGTGGTTCATTAATATTAGAGCACAATTTCTATCTGCAGTTTCTGAGGCCATTTACAAAGGGATTAGTTATTATTTCTCTATGATTGTTGATTAAAAAAAGTAGAAGTTACTGACTCATTTTGTCATCCTAGAAAAAATTGGTTAAAATGATATTTAGACCACCCTACACTATTCTGTGCCCTGCCCATTTATACACTGCTTTCTTCTCCAGAACAGGTCTCTGTATACGTATGCATATGTGTAGCTATGGATACAGAGATATGGGTGTCTATGAATACATACATATATTTATAAATTCTTTCTTTTCATAACCTTGAGATCCTGCATTGATTTTATCAAATGCTCAAGAACGATAAGAGTGATTTATTTGGGAGTCAGACTCCACCCACATCTGCACATGCCAAAATTTCAGTGAGAAACACGATGATGAACGCCTTATTGTTTTAATCTTTTTGTTTTTTAATTAACTTTTATTTATTTTTAAATGAAGTGCTTTTGAAAGCTGGGGCAAAAATATTTAAATGACAATGAAAAGGGAATAAAAATAAGCAAATTACCTTTCTCTTATTATTTACTTTTAACTATCAGTTCAGGAAAGGAAAGCTGTTAAGCATCTTTTTCCAGGGATTTCATATTGTTATACAAGTACTGGGTTTGATCCACAGTGCAGAAATATGGATACACTTTTTTTGGAAAGAGAAACACCTTGTTAACATTTTTTTAGGAGGGGAAAATTCATCTTTAATGAAACAATATTGGTAAGTTCTATGGTCCCTTCCAATCCCCAACATTCTGTGATTCTGTGATTCTGTGAAATTTAAACTATGCAAGCCTTACTTTAATAACTGGTTTCACCTTAAAATTTTATTTGTTTCTTGTTTTAATTTATGGCCTTTGGAATATATGGGGTGAGGTTTTTTAGTGTTCTAATGCTTTCTTGCCTGTGCTTTAACCCACTGCTGTTATAGCCAAGTACTTGGTAGAGGTTAGATTCTTATCTCTGATAGCAGTATTGGGTAGTGACATATTGGTTAATGTATTTTTAAAATTGACTACTTTTATTGGGCCTACAAGAAAGCTGGGGAGGGACGTTTTTCAAGGGCAGCGAGTGACAGAACAAGGGGTGATGGCTTTAAACTGGAAGAGGGTAGATTTAGATAAGATATTAGGAAGAAATTATTCACTGTGAGGGTGGTGAGACACTGGAAGAGGTTGCCCAGAGAAGTTGTGGATGCTCCTCCCTGGAAGTGTTCAAGGCCAGTTTGGATGAGGCTTTGAGCAACCTGGTCTAGTGGAAGGTGTCCCTGCTGCTGGCAGGGGGGTTGGAACTAGATGATCTTTAAGGTCCCTTCCAACCCAAACCTTTCTATGATTCTATGATTTTCCTTTAAAAACAAAATTAAAAACTTGACTCTCACTTACTGACTTTCTTATAAATCCAAGATAAAAAGTATAAAACCGCAGAGTCTATGGAGCTTCCTTGGAAACAAACACAAAACTTGTAGATTTTAATGGGTGTTAATTGTATGCAGGAGTAGACCAGAGCTTCAGGGATTAACTTTTTGTTTGGTTCTTTTGGGCACTCTGAAATTTTATTAATAGCTTTAGCTTGGTTTCCTAAGGAGCAAGGGTCAGTGGCTCCCTGGGGGCAGCCACTGGGCATCAGGCAGCTCTGTGGTGAAAGGGGTGGCCTGAGTCCAGACTGGGATTTCAGTGCAGAGATGGGAGTCAGGATCAGGCCCAGTGAGGAGAACCAGGGTCAGAACAGCCCAGGGATCAGTAAGCAGGGCTATGCTGATGACTCATGTTAAATGTTGTATTGGCATTTATTCAGCATTTGTATAGAAGTTTGAAATGATCCTAGCACAGATGATCCATGAAAGAGGGAAGGAGTGGAAAGGGAAAAAGAGAAGAAAGAAAAGGCAAAGAAATAGGTGAAAAGTGAGGGAATGACATAAGAGAAAACAGACAATACAATTTCCATTTGAATATGGAGATCTGTCATACTGCTCAGCATCTTGTCCTAGTAGTGACAAAGGCCAGTTAAGGGTGTCCTATTGACTTTAATAAGGAGGTGATTGAAGTCTACACAGCAATTGCTTGAGAAGCTGTAACAACTGAAGGGAAGAAGCATAAGTTTCTAAACAGGTAAAAAGAATTGTGCATAGAAAAAAAATCAAGTAGCGGGAAACAAGGTTGAATATTATTTTTCAAGACTTCTGAGATTCAGGGAGGAGAAAAAGCTGTGACATTCTTTAAAGGTCAGAGGGTTGAATTTAAATTGGGAACTAAAGTAGACTTTGCAGGGTTGTAATGAAAGGAAGTGAATGGGAAATGAAGGAGAAAAAGCAGAACAAATGGGACCAGAATTGCCTGGGAAAGGCTGTTAATTTTTTATTTTTAATTTTTTTCCCTCCTTCAGTTTGCTTTGGGTTGTCTTGAAACCATCCTAGAAGAGCCAGTACCATAGTACTTGGGTTACTCACTCTTGGGAAGCACATTGGAAATTTGAAATCTTCTGATTCAGACCAGAAATTAGAGTTTCAGCTTTTAGCATGATTTTAAAAGATATTAGTAACTTTGTAACTAGCTGGTTTTTAAGTAGGTCACTCTCTGACTTCTGCTTTGACTCATATTTTTTATTTTGTCTTTATCAGAATGGACTAAAGTTCAAAATCAGCACTACTGGCAATTCAGCAATAAACCTGAGAGTTTTATCAGTGTGAGTAGGACAAACTTTAAAGATATTTATCACTAGGAAAAGGCAGCTCAATGATATTATCAAAGCTAATACTAAAATGTGGTAAAGATGGATTTTTCAGCAGCG